AATAGAAGAGGACAGAGCACTTGTGTACCATTCAGGGTCCACACAAGATGCTAAACTGTAATTTGAAGTTTAATATAAAGAAGTATTAACAGGAAGTTGGTAAAAAGGGAAATTGTCTAGTTAGAATTAGAAAGAGCCCTAAAGAACAGAGGAGTAGCCAAGGTAAGGAATAGCTGCTGTTCCTAAGGGCCGTACTAGAGCTGCCACAAAGATCCCCGCCCTGGGGCTGAGGTCCAGACCTGCTGAAGAGGACATGGCGCGGCTCACTGGGTGGCTGAGAGGTCCCAGGGCGCTGGCGATGCCATGCTGGTGTGACTTGACGGAAGCCAGCTCTCTGGGGTGCCGAGGGAAGTCACCCGCAGGAGGTGCTGTGCCTCAGAACTTGCTACGAAGTTGCTGTGTGGGTCACTGTGGTGGCCATTCATGGGAAGGTGCATTCCATTGCAAAATCGCCAAAGCAGTACCCAGGAACGCTGCTGGCTGCCGCACCCAGGGGCGGCCCCTGCTGCAGGGACAAGACTCTGGAGGAGCCGCCATGCTGAGTAGCTCAGCGAGGGAGAAAGCTCTCTGTGCTGGAGAAGTGCTCCTCCGGTGTCCCTCCAGCACCCTCTGCTGACAAAGCGTCACGGTGCCGGCTGGCAAAGGAGATCTATTTATGTGACCATCTCCCTTTCACAGAGCAGGCAAGCAAAGATGGACTTGGAGTTGAAATGCAATAAATCGATCACTGGCACAGCCTCCCAGTTCATTCTTATGTGGCCAGAAACATTCTGATGACAACACCTGACAAAGACCACACAAGAAAATTACAGACCAATATGCTGCCTGAAGCTAGACATGGAAGTCCTTAAGAAATGTTAGCAAGTCAATTACAGCAATGTATAAAAAGGATAATGTTGCCATGCGCTGCTCAACGACGGGGATACGATCTGAGAAATGCATCATTACGCAGGTTTATCCTCGTGCACACATCACAGACTGCACTTAACAAACCATTGATGGAATAAGCTGTATCACACCTACACTGTAAAATCTAGGCCAGTGGTCGGCAAACTGCAGCCCCTTGAGTGTGGCTCTTCCACAAAATACCACGTGCGGGTGTGCACGTACAGTGCGATTGAAACTTCGTGACCACACTCAAGGGGCCAAAGAGCCGCATGTGGCTCGCGAGCCGCGGTCTGCCGACCACGGGTATGGGCTATTGCTCTGGGCTATGAGACTGTACTGCATGATACTGTAGAAAATAATATGAGATAAATCGAGCACAAGAGAAAATGACGCAATTAAGAGAAGACATAAACACCAGATGTATGAGGCTACTGCAGGCAACACAAGGCTTACTGTTTTACAGCAAGCTTTTTTTTTTACAAGTAGAAAGAGTATGATGAAAAGTATAGTACAGTAGAGCAAATACATGGGCCAGTACTACAGCCATTCATTATGATTACAAGTATTATGTACTGTACATAATTGCATGTGCTGTACTTTTATACAGGTTTGTTTACACCAGCATCACCAGTTTACACCAGTAATGTGTTGTGCTGTGACTTTATCATGTCCACACTGCCACTAAACAAGAGGAATGCTTCTCCATTATCATCTTATGGGACCACCATCGTACATGTGCTCTGTTACTGACCAAAATGTCTTATATATCTTATGTGGCCTATGGCTGTACATCATGAACAAGTGAGTTTATCCCAGCAACACAAAGTTGGGTTAACATTATATATATATGTTCACCACATTAAAGAATAAAGGAGGAAAAACAAGCAATCATCTCAATAGGTGCACAAAAAGTATCTGACAAAATTTAACACCAGCTCATAATTAAAACTCTGAGTGAATTAGAAATGAAAGGGAACTTTTTTCAACCTGATAAGGACATCAATGAAAAACTAACCAGAAAGAATCATG